CTCTTCCCGCTCATGTGCTGTGGTCCTGCATGGGCTGGGTTTTATTTTTTATGCCAAGCGAGTGCCAGATGCACAGCCCCATGGGCTGGGGCTTTGCTCCTTGCTGTGCCATGTCAGCAGAGAGCTGTGCTCAGCCATGCAGGAGCCCCAGAGCTGGGCAGCATAGAGTTGAGCTCACAAAATCGTGATGCACCAACACCATCCATCATACAGCACATGATACCACGGGGAGAAAGTTACACCTGCTTATTGCCCCATGTCCCTCTGCCCCTCATTCCCAGTAATCCACCCCATCTCCATTTTCCCCGTTGTCTCCCTGGACCCCTTTCCTACCACAACAGAGGATAGCCACCGAAAGCCATCTCGGGAAGGAGACACAACCACGGGGTCTCTTGAGGGTGGGATGGTGCTCCTCAAGGAGCAATCACTTAAAGCCAGGAGACGCAGGTGGAGACGGAGTGGCACCCACAAAGTCACAGGAGGACCAAGAGTGGTCCAACTCCAACCTGGGTTGGAAGGGCTGGATGAAACAGTGATAAACCTGCCACATAGGTGGTGCTGAATGCAAGCCTAGAGGATAACACTAGTATGGGTCACTGCTACCAAAAACTCTTGTGTTGCTGGTGTTCTCTTGAGAGAAGATCTTGTGAAGGTCTGGCTCTGTTTCAAAGAAAGACCTTAAAGCTCATATAAGGCAACTCACACCTTGGCTCAGCACCCCGTCCCAGTGGAAGCCAGGGTTGGGTTGGTTGGTACCTACTTGCTTTGACACAATTTAGGTGTCTTTCAGCAGAGGTGTGTCAGCCAACATACACAAAGGGTGAGCTTTCCTTTCCAGCTTGAGGAACAAGCCTTCCCACTGAATAAATCCATTGCATCTTGTTGGGCTGGCAATGGAAATGCACAGTCACCTACGGAGCACCATGCTTAAGTCCAGGTCATTTCATTTGCAATCCGAAATATAAACCTCTTTTTTTCCAGAAGTCCTGGGTTTCTCTTCCCAAATTTGATGTGATGCTTGCAGGTCTGAACTGGAGCAAAACTGGAACAGTCCCTTCCTTTTGGTAGTTAATACGAATCCAGCCGCTTTCCACTGGGAAGCCAATGCTCTGGGAACCAGTTCTCTAGCTGGTCTGAGTGGACCCAGACCGGCGCCCCTGCTCCATCACCATCAAACAAAGGTCGTGACAGCAAAGGCTTATTCAACTGCACTAGTGAAACAGTGGACCAGGGAAAACATGCTCTTTATCTCGTACATGTACATATATGCGTGCACACATTCTTACAATAAATATAAAACTGTTACATGCAGTAGCAAAAATCATAACTCTTAGACTTGTTTTTTGAGAAGGATGGGCCAGGTGGGCACTGGTGCTTGGGTTTAACTGCAGTTTGTTTGTGGTATTTGGCTGGGATCATGCTGACAGAGCTGGCAAGCAGGGTCTCAGGGCACGGTGGCTGGGACTGAGTTCCCACGCTCTGAGAGAGGTGAAGGAGAGCGCGGCAAGCTGGGCTCTCCACCCGGGGGTCTGCCCCATAGGCCAAGGGGACAGTAAGTCCCTCCTGACCGAGAGTCACCAGATCTGCCCTAGACCCAACGTCAGGGTGAGGGAAACCACCATCCTCAGACTTAAGCACCTAAAACTAAGACATCTGAGTGAGGGTGGATGAATCCCAACCTCTAAACCCCTCTCCCAGCCTTCCTCCAGGCTCTTTTAACCCTACATAGAAAGCATTGGCTTTCCTCAGTTTCAGCTGGGAAAATGCCTTCTTTTGAGGGTCTCTCCTCAACTTCCAACTGTCACACCCTTCCCGTAAGCTTTCAAAGTGGAGGTATTCCCCAGGGCTTAGGAAACTCTTGTACCCGTGACCAAACACACATGCTCTCCTCCCTGATGTCTCAGCTCTGGTTTTACTTACCTGTGGTCATTAGGTTAAATAATGCTCTGTTAAAATGCTGATGTGGGAGGGGATCATAACTTTTTTC